TTTATACAGAGAATACACTGAGACCTAGGAACACCAACTATCTCATAGGTAAGAAATCTTTTTTATTGGCATGGTAAAGTCTCAAATGGAAATCTTTATAAAACTAAACCTTTGAAAATGTTTTCCAATCTCTTAATCTTTCATGTATTTTAGAAAGGAAAATAGTGTAATAGTTATTAATTTATTGTCATCTGACCATTTGGGATTCTAAATGTCAATAACTAGGTCACTCTTCTGGCTGAGTGATTCTGATTATCAAGGGGAGATTGGGTTGGAGAACCACATCTGGACCTCAGGGATCCTGGGGAGTACCCCTAATGCTTCCATACTCAGTAGTAAAGGTTAATAGAAAACATCAACAACCCAAAAGAGGCAGGATAGGTGGGAACTCAAACCTTTCTGGATGAAGGTTTGAGCCAATCCACCAGGTAAAGAACTTCAAGCTTCTAAGGTTCTTCTTAAGTACAGGGGAAATACTGAATGGAGAGTAGAAGAAGGAGGCCATAGAAACCATACTTATAGCCTTGTTACTGATTGCAGAGAGGAGGGATATAGTAGCTTTTAATATTTTTCCATTTGCTTGTTATATGTATGTATTTATTTTATTTTCTATTTTCTCTTTCTTTCCATTTTTATTTTATCTTATATACAAATTGTTGGAAGTTAACTTTAGTATCTTGGAAACAGAATATTCAGTCAAACTGTGATTGGATTTGAAAAAATTAATGTATCCAGTAATGGATACAGCAATTATTGGGATTTGCATCTCCTTATACTGACAAGAGAGTAAAAACACCTTGTAAAATGAATAACTATTTCATATTAAGTGGGAATGCAGAGTTGTTTTGTTGGTGTGTAGGAATTCAAGTGGATATAGAATAATGCACATAGGAGCCAAGTAACCAAGGGTGCAGACTGCAACAGCTATCAATTTATTGCCTTCTAGCTCTAAGTTTATCCTTCATTGCCTGTTCTACAAAAGTGTATATGGGCCCTTTAAATCTATTTTTCTTTGCCTGCTAGTTGAATGTTAAGCATTTTCAGTAGAGGGCGCAGGAGGGACACTGCAGATAAGGAGTTGTCTATTCTAGTCCCAATGTGTTTGCTCTGCAGCCAACTCTGCAGTCTAAGTACAATGAAAGGCTTATCTAGGACCTGCTCCCCAGCACCTACAGCTTGTACAGTGCTCTGTTTCTGCAGCACAAGGGGCTGCTCCAGCACCAAGATCTTGAAGCATGGGCAGCTTCTTTAGCATCCAAATCCTGCAGTACACTGGCCAGCAGCAACCATCAGCCAACACCTGCCCTCCCTATCCCCCTGCCTTTTTTTTTTTAAACAGAGTTCTTCTGGTGAGATACCACTCCATGAAGAGCTTTCTCGGGTATCCTTTAGGACAGATTTCCAGCAAGTTCTGTTAGAGCAGTACCACAGCAACCTCCCTGCCAGTGAGGTCTAGCCCACATATCTCTGGGACTTCCTTTCTGGACAATCCATCTACACTGTAAGGGTAATGACTATTCCTTATATCTACTATTTCTGAGCTTTATAGCTCAATCTACCTCATCATTCAATCCCTCATCATTACAACCACAGTTAATAATTCTTTTTATCAAACTTTCTCTTTTCAATTCCCTGTGCGTCCTAGTAGCAATGGGCACACCCAGCACCCAGATCTTGGTTTGCAAATACCATTCTCCAATAGAAAGAACCAGGGCTTCTTTCAGAAATGGCCCATTCCAAGGCTAAGACAGGAAAAATACACCAGGGGCTTGGAGTATCTTATAGTAACAGAAAGAAATGCAGTGCTCAAATTCACAAGAACAGGCATGTCCAAAGGACACAATGGCCAAGGCTGAAACTATTCAAACAACAAAATAAATAATGTGATATTGTCATATAACCCAATGTACATGAGTCCAAACTGATATAAATTATTAAGTAAATGAAGGAAAAGAAACATGTCTTTTTTAAAAAAGAATTCCAAACACTATATGTAGATGCTCCTTCCTCAATAAATGGATAGATTATGTGGCTTGCTTTCACAGAATAGCATAGGAAAGGGGGAAAATTCTATGTTTAGATGGAGAAATCTGGCCATCACAACTTCATCAAGCAGTGAAGACTAACCAGGTGATGGCATCATGGGTGAATCTCCTGTGACTCTCCTGATTTCATGTGATGAGAAAGACATTTCAACTCTGCACTGTTTTCTTTTCTTTTTTTTTTTTTTTTTGAGAGAGAGAGTTTTTTAATATTTATTTTTTAGTTTTCGGTGGACACAACATCTTTGTTTGTATGTAGTGCTAAGGATCGAACCTGGGCCGCACGCATGCCAGGTAAGCATGCTACCACTTGAGCCACATCCCCAGCCCTCTGCACTGTTCTTTTCAAAATTCATCACCCTCATCATGAAAAATACCAGACAAGCACAGACTGGGGTCCTGTGCAGTCCTCCTCCACACTATCAAGGCCATGAAAAACAAGGGAAGATTGAGAAACGGTCACAGAGAGAGGATACTGGGGAGATGTGAACATGGCATGGGGCTCTGGGTCGGAATCTGGAACAGAAAGAGGACATTTGTGGAAAAACTGATGAGATCCCAACAACTTCTGGAACTTATTTACTACCAATGTGCTAATGTCAGTTTCTCAATTTTTATAAACTGATGGTAATTTAAGAAGTTAACGATAGAGGACATTGGATATGGAGATACAGAAACTTTCTGTACTATCTTTGCAACAATTCTGTAAATCTAAAATTGTTTCAAAATAAAAACTTTACTCAAAAAAAAAAATGACTGTGGTTTCTGTCTCCTGATTGAACCTTACCAGGTATCAAGAGTCCATCTAATTATAAAAGCAGTCATTTTATGAATCTAACATACATCATCAAAGTTATGCAGAGGAGTAACCATAGAGAAGGAAAAATGGAAATAGAATCATTGGAAATTAGGCAGTTTTAATTCTGATATATAATAGATGACTAGAACATACATTTTGTTTCCAGAGTTACCTGGCCAAGAGTAAACAACTCAGCACAGTTTTTGAGATAGGGGTAACTGCCACAGACAATCCAAGTAACAAAATCCAGGTAACAACACCCAGTATAGCACTTTCTTGTGCTTAAGAAAGGTGTTAGAAATGATTTTTCTCTGAACATCTTTAAAGACTTTAGACATCTGTTAATGCTTATTTATGCTTTTGTTCATTATAAACCCAAAACACTAGTTGTAGAGAATGCATTACAAGTAGTATTAATTACCATTTTCCAGTATTAAAAGAGCATATGTTCTCAGAGTTCTGGAGTCTTCATTCAAAAGTCAGTAAACTCTAAAACAAAGCAATGATTTTTTTTTTAACTAGAGGGCCCAAATCAGTTCTATAGTCCAAAACCAATGTAGGCTTTTGTTTTGCACACAAACACTATTCAGTCTGATCTATTAGCTTGAGGTAGGCTACAGTTTTTAGCAAAGTACGAGTAGAACTGAAATTATTCCATAGCATTCTTTGCCCTGGAAGTAGTAGCAAACCTCACTTTTCAAAGATAGAATACATCCACTCTCTCCTTTCCCACTGGTTTATAATAATGTTATTTTTCTCTAAAACGTCTGGGCTCGACTGATTTTTAAGTTGGAAAAGTTAATGAAAGCAATATTGCATTTGAGGTCAGTCGGCCAGAAAGATGGACATGAGCCAAATCCCACATCCCAAACATTCTGCCTCAATGGCATGTGAACAAAATGCCCACTCTCCTCCTGCTTCCCAACAGAAGCAAAACAAAGCCCTGCAAGACAGTTGCCCACTGGAATTGAGATGCCTGCCAGGAGCAGAAAGACACACACACACACACACACACACACACACACACACTCCCTGTACAATAGCAGGGCTGTTTCACACCAAGAGTTCTGTGCACAGGCAGCACAAGGGCTTCCCCTGGAGATGCTGCTTCAGAGAAAGCCAAGAGATCACAAGTTCAAAACCAGCAGGCCCAACAAGGTCAAGAGTAGCTTCCCATACTCCACAGTAAGCAACTAAAATTCTTAAAACAAGTTTATCTGGAGAGCTTAAAGTCCTTTCAGACTAATCTCAGAAAATCATTTAGTAGCAATGAAGAAAAATTTGTGCTATCACAGGAACATGCTAATTTAAAAAAACTATTATTTCCTTTTTATATATGTAATGTTCTGTGTACTACAGCTTAGTTGCACTTCAATTTCCTCTTACATTTTTCAAGGCCAAAAAGGAAGAGCAGGAAGTGGACACAATTAAGTGGGCAGAATGAGTTAGCCAGAAGACTTAAATTTTAACTATGAAATTTAGAAAAACAACTGTATTCCATGACATTCCATTATTTAATCTGCACAACAATGAATATAGGATTTTAGATATAGCCTGCCCATATCATTTTAGAGTTACAACTCCAGCATAATGAAGACACATTGTACACTATGTTATGATTTCATTTAGCAAGTATCAAAACATTCTCGAATTTTCATATATTACAAATTTATCTCCCCCAAATTAACTGGACATACGCTCATTATTTCCATCTCAGAATTCAAAGACAAATTGATATATTACTATTACAAACTTTAACTTCTAAGTTAAAACCAATGGGTGATAAATTTTAATCACTAAGAAAGCATCTTAGATAAACCAAGTTAAAAACAAAAGTTAGAGTATTATCCAACTGCCTTAAAGTAAAGAATATAAATTTTGGACCTACTCTAGAAAACACACTAATACTCATGAAAGTATGAGTATCAGATCGTTAAAATCTCCTTTATACATACTTTTCTTTATACCTAATTAACAACAGTTCTGTATGTAATACATGAACATGTTTAAAAGGAACTCATTTGAATGAATTGGATTTGGAATCCACACCATGCTCTGTTTGGGATGAAGAGGGAAACTGTAGCTCTGGGTAATCTGCAGACAAGGGGTTCATACAGCAAAAACATCCCCAAGACAGACAACAGCAGGTGGAAACTTACCACTGGAGCAGTTGGTCCCACCCCAGCCAGGCTCGCACTGACAGGTGTTTGGAGCAATGCAGCGCCCATGGACACATTTATCAGCACAGTGAGCTGTCAGAGAGAAAATCAATCAAATAAAGAAAGTTGGCACAAGAAAAAAAAAAAAGCCAACAACACAGCTGTTGCACATCCTAGGCTCAAGTGTCACTTAAAAACAACATGCATGCTTGATAATTTTCTTCAATCCATTCCTCAGTCCTCTTACAGTCCGCTGGTACAACTAAACAATTTCCCTTCTTATTTTGATATCTCCAAATAAATTCCTCCAGTTCTACTTGCTTAATTCTACTTCATGCTAAATTAGGAAAGAAGTTTCAAGGGAAATTGCCTAATCCACTTTTTTTAAAAAAAAGAAAATTTATAAAAGACCACCAAATGTATCCTGTTTGGGGAGGAGAGTATGTGGAGAAACAAACCAAAAAGCAAAACACCAGGACGACAGCAGCACAGCAGACCAAGAGGTGATTGCCTCCACAAAGCATTCACCACAAACAAGTCACCTTTCTTTGTGAAGACCCTGTTCACAACTCTGACATGGCAGAATTGCAGTCTTTATCTGTTAAGGAAAATACTTGACAAATGTCATCTGGGTCTTCAGAAAATATTAAATCTCAATTCTCTTCTATAAGTGACTGTCTCAGCCATGACCCAGCACTTGGAGACAAGGGGACACCACTGCAAACACGAGTAAATGGTCTGAAGACTACTTTCCAAAAGCAGAATTCAGCTGAATAACAGGAAAGGGATCAAAATACTCTCAGTGAACACTGACATTATCTTCCACCTTGTTCCTCTCACATTGTTTAGACACCATCCAAAATATCTAAGTAGATGAGCAATTGTGAGGGCAACTTGGAAGAGTTTGGGATTCAGGTAGTTCAAAATTTTATTTAAGGGTGGGATAAGACACCCTGGTGCTCTAGATGTGTCTCATTAATATATTCTTATTACAAAAGTAGAATAGGTTTCCTGCCCAAACATAAAATACCAATAAGTAAAATAGACCTCATCTCAGTTCCACAAACTAGTAACATTCTCATGGTTGTAGAATCCTTCAGGAATTGTTTTCCCTATATATTTTTCTCCTCATAAAAAATAAAAGTAAAAAAGCTTTCAAAATGATTTTCTATTCAATAAAATACAAAAAATATTTTCATGTCATGAAATATTGTTTTATACATTTTATCCACTAGTGTATATGTAGTATACATATATAATGTGTGTGTATATATATAGTATACATATAATGTATATATATAATGATCCAAAATGATGGTCACTTCTAAAATCTTGATCTTTGACATGAAGAGATCTATAGGAAAATAATTTAGATTACCTTTAAACCAAACAGAAATTGGATGTGGTGGCTGATTTAAAAAAAAAAAATGCCATACAAACTGAAGAACATCAAGCTAAGTGAAATAAGCCAGACTCAGAAAATCAAGGGTTGAATGCTTCCTGTCAGGTACAGAAGCTAGAGAGAGAAACAGGGGAAAAAAGTAATGAAAAAAAGGGGAGCAAGGTCTTGGGATAATAGAAGGGAAACCAATAGAGTAGACGAAAGAGGGAGGAAGAGAGGTGGGCATAGAAAAGTACTGGGGAATGAAATTTGCCAAAGTATGCTATGTCCATGTACAAATATGACACAACAGATCATGCACGTGTGTGTGTGTATGCATGTGTATACACACATGTATAATTATAATGCTCTAATTTAAATGACAACAACAGAAGGGAGGTCACTAGAACAGAGCAAGTGGGTGGGAGTGGGAAGAGGGGAGGAACAGGGGAAGTACTGGGGAATGAGATTAATTAAATTTTGTTATGTGCCTATAAGAATATGGCATCCAAATCTTCAAAGTGCCATCCAAATCTTCAAAGTTCAAATCTTTGTGTCTGTTTAATATAATAGTGTAGTCCTCTCTAATTAATTTTTACTAAGGGAATATTATAAAGTTAATCTCTAAGGTAAATTTATATTGGTAAAATTTTCCTTTATTTGTGTTTATATCTTGGAAATCCATACAAGATTCCATATCACCAAAAAAAAAATAATTCTAGCACTTGAAAATCTGAAAATCTCTGGGTTCCCATGAAGCTGGATCTGATAGGAACCACCTAGGTTTCATATGTGTTGGGGCTGGCTATGAAAGGAAGATGTTCAGAATATTCTATAGACTGGTCTCAATTTCTGCTTTCCCTTTTTTTTTTTTTCATTTTTTCTTTATTTACCCTCTTTTTCATTTTCTACCACTCATCTTTCTCTCTCCACAAACTATTTCTTTGATCTACACAGTTATCATAGAGGCTACAGATTAAAATTTGACTTCAGTTGTAGTTGGGTTCGGTCTTAACCTCAGGGTGACCCCAAATGATTTCCCCTGCACCATGTGAAAGGTAAGATTGGGTTGAAAGGAGCAGGGTAAGAATTATTAAGGAAGATTGAGCAAGAAGGCCTAGTACTTTTGCTCCAACATCAAGATAACATTTATTAAAATGGGCAAATAAATGTATATAAATTAAGCCTATGTTCTAGAGAGTTAGGAACCAGAATTGCATATTCTTGGATCTCAAGCCATTGTTTTCTTTTGTTGTTCTTATTGTTTTAATTCTGAAAAAGGACAGTAAGTATATTTTCATATACAGAATTAAATAGACCTGCTTTGGAATGCTTTTAGATTATTGGATAATTATACAAATGTTCTTGTGTTCCTGGTAAGTGCAAACTTTGTGTTTTTATGAAAGGAATTTAAAATCCAGTCATGTACAATAAATGAAAAAAAATGATGGTATTTTTAAAATATGGATTATTTTTATAAAAAAAAAACTGGGTTATTTTTATGAAAACCTGGGCTAGCATTTGGGCAAAATCTGGAACACAATGTGGGTAGGTCATGAACAGAAAAGAAATTTCCTGAAAGTTACTTAAGAATTGGAAGGGAGAATCTGCTTTCCTAGCGATTTCCTTTTTCTCAATTACAGCTCAAGTCAATGGAATCACCTTTAAAAATCGAGTCCTGTAGTCAAATAATGGCCTTAATGATGGGAAAGACTGTTGGGACCCACTCTAAAAGAAATGAACACAAAATTCTACTTCTGTGATATAGTAACTTCATGCAGCATTAGACTCTGTCATTCAAGTGCCATCTCTGCCCCATTCTCTTCTTCTGCCATTTCTAAGCTATTACCAAGTCCTCACACAATGGTCAGAAGAAAAGGGAAGCAAGAAAGAAGGGAGCCATGGAACTGTATGTTCTCTGATGTCCCAACTCACCAAGCTACAGAAACACTGTGAAATATGTGATAACACTAACCCCCTTGGGACTCAGCAGAGTTAGATCCTACCCCAAGCTCATCTTTCCTTATTCAGCTTTAGATGCCAAGCTTAAGTGCTGAGCTTCCAACAGAATCCACATGGAAAATCAAAACAAGCTTCAGACACAAAATCCTGTGACATACCAAAGGGAACTAGAAAGGAACAAAGGAAACAGAGGTCCACTTTAGCAAATGTTCAAAGCTTGGCTCTCAAGCACAGGTACAAAGGACCCTCATAATTGTGTTGTTTTTTTTTTTTTTCATGCCTGAGAGATTCCTTATCCATGTCCTTTCTTTTAAATATTTTAAAGATGTTCTATCCAATATAATTTATTTTATCCTATCTCTCTTTAAGAAAATCACTAAATATTTTATAATAAATTTTTGGTGACTTTTTGTTTGTTTGTTTTTTGAGGCCAGATAGAAGCTGGAAGCTGAATCTCCGCCCACACTTAGTACTGTGCTGTAGACACATCAAACTGCAGGAGGCAAAGGTCTCCTCTCCCTCAAGAACTGGGAGACAACAGGCACTAATGAGAAGAGCAGGCCATGTCTTTGAAGTGAAAGCTGTGGACAGTCTGTCTGCTTGGTGGACAGGTGAGGACTGACATGATGACCCTGGAATCTTCTCTAATTAGGCTCCTGTTTCAGCCTTAGTTCCTAAATCCATCTAAATCCCATTACCAATGCCATGAACCTCATTGTTTCACTTGTAAATACTTGGCTTTAATACCGAAAGCCATTAACTATAGTCAATTGTTTTTTCCTCTACCACATATATTTTTCTTTGGATTTACACCTAAGAATGGAATATATGTGAAAGGAAGAGTGAGCAGAATAAAAAACTCCTTTAAAACCCAATTATATCTCTAAAGAAAATACAAGCCATTGTCCTAAAGGATATAATGTAATAAATCCATTTACATTAATTTGGAAAATGTTTCTAAGGTTAAAGTATCTCCTGAAAGTCACTATCTAATAGACACAACCTTCCAGCTAATCTATCTTTTCTCATTAGATCCTTTTATTCTGAGTTATGAATAAAGAGGATGAGTCACAAATCTTATTTTTTGAATTTATTCAATGAGTTGCTATAAAAGAACATAAATTTTTAGAATTAAAAGTAACTTTACTGAATACCATCCTTGTATTTTTCAGGGAAAGTGAATAATTTCATCAATATTTGTAGCTAGGGTTTAAAAAAGAAGTAGGATTAAACCTGGATCTCTAATTTTGGGGAGTCCAAAACATTATGATGGTTTTAATGGTAGTGGGAGGGGAGCATGGGTAAAAAGATGGTAGAAGGTGTGTTGGACCAGCTACTAAGACAGGTGTACCACAAGGCTAGGAACCAAGAGTCAGAAGATTCAAAGGAGGAAAAGTGAGAAAGCAAAGAAAGTGGACTTCCAAGGTAAACTTCATGCCCTCACACTTCTGTCAGAGGTCAATTATGTGCAAAGTCTTTACATAATTTCATTGGTACTATAAGGTTCAGCACAGACAGGAGTCATCTGTTTTCATATTTTCAAACATAATATTATAGACTACACTATTGTATTTGTAAAAAGGGATGGGGATTCTTTTTCTTCTGCTTAACATTTACTGACGTACCAGGCACATTGCTAAGCTCTGCTGTGGATACAAAGATGGCAGATTAGAAACTCTTAGTCTGCAGAGGAAATCAAAAGCAGGATCACCAAATCCAACAAACACAATGCATGATGCAGGGGTAATAA